GGTCTGTAAAAATCTGTGTGGCCGTGACATAACTGAAAGAATGTGTCATCAGGGGACTTCTGAGAGCGTAATGTACCATCACCAGATTTAAAAAAAAAACCTACAGAGCCCTGGAGAGATGGAGCGGGGCACATCCCATAGATTTCACACTCATTCAGTAGTAAGAGGTGTTTTATTTCAAATGTGCTTGCAGTGCACGTCATCAAAAAAGCATGAATAAAGTGCACAGAAAAGCACCAGGCTAATCCTTTTTCTTCATCAGGGCTTAGATCTGTCAATGGGGTCTTATTTCAGGAGACTGTGAATCATGCGAGTTGTAATCTTTCAAAATGCTCTTAACTGTTGGAAATTGCTTTATTGGCATAGAGTCTGTTCTGTTCAATTATTCACTTTAATTTAGGAAGACTAGGTTACTGTAAGTACATGATTTTGGATGACAGCACTATTTAGTTGTTGTTGTTTTTTTTTGCTTATTTAATCGTTTTTGCTTATTGCTTATTCAATGTGTATAGCTCAATTCATATATTAAGCGATATAAATTATGTAAGCTTTTTAATGTTTTTGAAAAAAAAGTCTTGTATGTTCACCAAGGTTGCATTCATTTGATCAAAAATACACTAAGAACAGTAATATTGTGAAATATTATTACAATTCAAAAGAACTGTTTTCTTTCTGAAAATATTTTTTCAAAATGTAATTATAATTGTAAAATGAAATTTATTTCTGTGATAAAAAGCTGAATTTTCAGCACCATTATTCCAGTCTTCAGTGTCACATGATCCTTCAGAAATCATTCTAATATGCTGATTTGCTGTTCAAGAAACATTCCTTATTATCAATGTTGAAAACAGTTGTGCTGCTTAATATGTTTGTGGAAACCATAATACTTTATTTTTCAGAATTCTTTGACAAAATAAAGAACAGCATTTAATTTGAAAAACAAATATTTATATAATATTCAACATTATTAATGTCTTTACTGTCACATTTGATCAATTTAATATATCATTGCTGAATAAAATAAATAATTTCTTTTTAAAAAATATTTTGAAAGTTAGTGTATTCACACACTCACACGTATACACACACACATATATATGTGTGTGTGTGTGTGTGTGTGTGTGTGTGAATACACTAGCATTCAAAAGAAGTCTATTCATATGCTATACTTAATACATACTTAAAGTGGTTGATCAAAAATATTTAAAATTCTGTTTATTTTAAGTATGTGCATCCCATGAAAGACATCATTTTATATGGTGTAAGACAGGCAAAATAACTCTTAGGCTTTAATAATGCCTAGTTGCTGAACAAGCTCTCTTCCTCTGTTGCCTTGAAGGCAATAAAATAGTGTCCATTTCCAAGGATTATGCTATGATTTTCTGTTAGAGCCAGCAGCGTGGACAAGATTTTGACAGATTCAGGGCGGTTATATATACTGTATATATATATGTGTGTGTGTGTGTGTGTGTGGTTCAAAATCTTTTAATTCCTAAAAAACACATTTTAGATGTGTGATAATCAAGTGAACACAATAAAAGCACACTAGCATATCTTCAGACAAGAATCTTAAATTTAATTTTTTATTGTTTACGCTCGTGTTTCATAAATATTTTACTGCTTAAAAGCTTATAATAGTCTGTTTAATAGTAGGCTAGTTTCCGTTGTGACAAATTATCCCATATTGTCATGGGGCATGATTTCACAAAGGTCAACTTGTATTAATTAACTGTATAAAAATTGTGACAAATAGGCTAGTCCTGGCCCCCCTATATACATTTCACAGTAATTAATATAACAAAATAAAAATGGAAGAATGTTAAACCTAATGTAAAAATATCAATTTTATTTCAGGATTATGCTATGATTTTCTGTTAGAGCCAGCAGCGTGGACAAGATTTTGACAGATTCAGGGCGGTTAGTGTGATTTCTTTTTACTGCACCCCTTTATAGTGGCTAAAATAGGACACGCTGAATAAGTTCGGGTGCCAAATCTAGAACTTATCACCCTCTCAAGGGCAAACCAGCAACTAATGCTCTCTGCAATCGTCAGAAAACAGGACCATTTTATCCATTTTTTTTTTCTCCCTGTGATAAAATGTGAACATATATCAGCAGAACTGAAGAAATAAAAAGGTGATAATGAGTTCACAACAGCAGCATCACAATCAGGCAGCTGAGATATTGTGACATCTGCAGTGTCTGGTGAATCTTAAAGAGAAAAGCCATCAGTCAGACTAGTAATCTGCTGCTTTTAACACCATTAACAACACAGACGTTTGTCACCTTTTAGATATGTGGCATTTATGAGCTTGTTAAAAATGTACGTGATTGACAGTATTTATCCGGATTGGTTGACCTCTCAGTTACTTTTTTTTTTTTTGAAGACCATCAGGAATGAACCAGCTGTCATGTCAATTTTTTTGCCATATATACTGTAATACAGTCAATTAATTTGTGTTATGTATGTTTGTGAGAAATTAAAAATGAAAGTGGTACTCTTGGTACTCCATGGCTTTATAATTAACTTAAAATAATAATTACTAAAAACAAATAAGAATAAAATATACTAAAACTGAAATAAAAATGTATAAAAAAAACTATAGAGACATTAAAAAAATAATTCATAAAAATAGCAAAAACACACAACAAAATTACTAAAATTGAAACATAACGAAAATTGAAACAAGAATGAAACAAAATGAAAACATAAAATATAATAATAAAAACTCATTCAAAATAATAATAAAAACTATAGTAATAGCTCGATACTAAAATAACTGCTTAGAATATCTTCAAAACAGATAATGACTTTGCTGCCACCTAGTGGTCAACAGAATAAAAAGCTGTTAAAATACGGCAGAAACTCGTAGATCAATTACAATTAGATTTTTGCATTGCAGATGTTGTGCAGTTTTGTTTTGTTTTTTCTCTCTCTCTCTCTATCATTAACTAGTATGACTGAAAACACGATTGGAACATGTGTTTTGTATAACAGTATAATCAAAGAGCCATAAACCATCATAAGAATCGGATTCACTGACCTTTCACATTATCAGTTTAATTCTTTCATTTCAGCTAAAACAAGCACTTCAAAAGGCCTTTCGCATCCCGTAGACTTTAACTGTGTAAGTGCCCCAGGGGCCCTTGAGATTTGAACACAGCCCGCTTCTGTTCTCTCACTGACAGGTCAAGCTTTACTCTGTTCTTATTATCTCTGCGCCTCAGGAAAAGTTGTATACCTTGACCATAGACTGTAAAAAGATCTTGACTGTAGCACGACTGCCCTCTAGTGTCTGCATCAGCACATCTATGCAACAGGTTTCAAATGACATTCAAGCGTCTCATTTCATACAGTGAATTACTTAATTATTTAAGAACAGTTCACCCAAAAATGAAAATTCTTTCATTATTTACTCAACCCCAAGTTGTTCTAAACCTGTATGAGTTTCTTTCTTCTGTTGAGCTCAAAACAAGATATTTTGATGGTAGCCATTGACTTCCATGGGGTTTTTTTCATACTACGTTAGTCAATGGCTACCATCAACAGTTTGGTTACAAGCATTCTTCAAAAATACCTTCTTTTATGTTCAACAGAAGAAAGAAGCTTTTTTTTTGGTGAAATATCCTTTTAATTACAGTGAAAAGGTCTATGATATACAGAAGCTGAATTTAAAATGTCTTCTTAATCCCAATTTAGAGTTAAATAGTTAGTATATGCATTTCCCCCTGGCATGTGATTATACATTTATATTATGCATTACTTTAAGTCATCTATAATATATATATATATATATATATATATATATATATATATATACTGTA